CTTGAACTTTCGATCCTCCTGCCTTAGCTCCTGAGTAGGAGAAACACTATGTTATTTTTTGTTATTGTTTGGTACCAGGGATTGAACCCAGGGGCACTTAACTATTGAGCCACATCCTCAGCCCATTTTTTATATTTTATTTTGAGACARGGTCTTACTGAGTTGCTTGGGGCCTCGCTAACTGAGTTGTTGAGGCTGCCTTTGAACTTGCAATCCTCCTGCCTTAGCCTCCTGAGCCACTGGGATTACAGGCATGTACCACAATGCCCCCAGAAACACTATTTTAAAACAGCACTTCTGAACAGCYGCCTTTAGCCCCTGTCTCATGAAAATTGGTCTAGAGATATTTTGGGGTATCACAACTGAAAAGGGAGGTGCCCTCCGTACCTAATGGGTAGAGATTAGGAATAATGCTAAACATTCTAAAATGTGCAAGATAGCCCCCACAACAAAGAATTACCTAATCCAAAATGTCAATAGTGCTAAGGTGAAGAAACCATGTTTCAGAGAATATTTGATGATGGTATTTGAACATCCAYGGACATATTTGGGAGACCAAAATTAATCTCTATGGCTTCCAGATAAATCCAATGTGATGTTCCCCTTGTGTAACTTCATGGTAACTAATTTGTGAAATTGTTTCTGTGGAAAAAAAGTCCAAAGCAGTTATCCTTCCCTGCCCTAACATTTATGAAGAAAAGGGTCCTAACCATTTGCTACCCACAACAGTTGTTCTTACTAAGAACTAACTCTATAACCTAGCAATGAGAAAGGAAGCCCAGACCCAAGAGTCAAAATGATGATCTCTGTACTTCTAGTTCCCAATGGTCAAGGTTTATTTTAACAAGCCCACTAGTAGCTTCTATATTTTTTTTTATTAATATGTTGGAACTTGAAAAAATGTTGGTGAATCAGATATTTCTGGCAGATGAAACTGGTTTTTATCTCTTGAATGGTTGATATTACTTACTATCATTTATTTTTTAGCCTCTGAAAACAATCTTCTGTTTATGTTGCTTGAATAGGCTAATCCACCTATTTCAACCTTTGAGAGCAAATTCTCAAGGTCAAATTGAAGGAAATTGAATAGAGGAAAACGTGTGGGTGACCTGACTTTATCATGGAACCTGAAGACTTTGATTCTGAAGACAAAGAGGTGTTAAACTGGGACATTAATGACATGAAACTGCCACAGGTATGTACTTGCTATAGGACTATCTTCTGCATTTGGCTATGAATCCTTGACTATTATGAACCTGCTAGGACCTAGAAGGAAATTGGTGAGGGTCCCAGTTGTGTGAACTCCCTTAGACCTTCAGTAGACATCTGATGGAGGATTTTGTTGTTGTTTATTTTTCAATAAATGGAAACCAGGACCTCATGCTTGCTAAACAAGTGCTCTACCACTGAGTCACATCCCAACCTTTTTTACATTTTATTTTGAGACAGGGTTTTACTAAGTTGCCCAGGCTGCCCTTGAACTTGCCATCCTCCTGTCTCAGCCTCCTGAGTAACCAGGATTTACACATGTGCACCACTACACCCAACTCAACTGAGAAATTTTAAGAGGAGACATGATTTGAGCAGCTCTTTACCTATCAGATCCTCCCAATACTAGACTGAGACAAAGAGTGTGCTAATTCCTTTCTCTTCCTAAGCTGCCCTGCTCAGGTTGTACTCACCCTGGCCAGTTGGTATGATCAAATGCATGGCAATTTATTTGTGTTTCATTGTACACAAGTCCCCATACCATTTTATCTTATAATAATGGCCTGTAGCTGCAATGTCTGACTGATGGCGTTTTTGTGGAATATGACATGCTCTTGTAGGACTTCTGTAAATACCACACAGCCAAACTGGATTGCATTTTAGATTCAGAATGCCTTTTATTTTATATTTTCTTTGACCTACTCTTTGGTAATTGACTTTCTAAGTCTTAATTTGATTGAAAGCACTGGTTGTTTAAAACTGATTTTTCCATGTATATCATTCCTGGCTTCTTGTCCTCTCTTTTGGGTGTTTTAATAATGTTTTCACTGGAGGTTGTTTGAAAAGGAGACTAGGAAGACTAGGGGTGGAAACTAACTAGTACCAAGAAATGAAAAGCTCCATCTAGTCTGCCTGATTCTGGGAGCAAAGAATTTGAATTACCCCAAGCAAAGGAGAGGAGACAGAGATTCCAGAGTCTTGATTTATAACCAATTGGTATTTTTACTTTAATGAAGATGTCCTTTTGTTTCTCCTTAAAGTCCTCTCGTATTCTCCCTTGGTAGGTCTTGGGAGGGCTGAAGAATGGAAAATGTAACTATTTTCTACTCACCTGAAGGTGGCTAAATGAACCACAGCTAAAACATACCCGTGTCTATTTTCAGGAACTTATGTTTATAACTGCTCTTAATTTGTATTACAATTCTTATAGCTGTTGTAGAGATGCTCTAAGGTAACTTTTAATTACTCCTAGCTCTGGGACCCTTATTTTGCCTGTTTCTAATTTTAAGATGGCAACTCATAAATAGGAGTTGGAGATACACAAACATCAAGAACTGAAGTTAGCAGATGCATGGAAGATGTTGCAATATCACATTCTAGAGCAGGGTTTCAGTAGAATCAGAGATCTCCTTGAAGTGGTAGGCAATACTGTGTGTTAACACACACTTTTCTTTTCTTTCTTTCTTTCTTCTTCTTTTTTTTTTTTTCTGGGACAGAGGATCCATATCACTCATCAGATCCATAAACAAAAAAGGGAAAGAACTACTTCCCTGAAGGGAAACTCAGGCTCATAGAARCTCATGTTCCAACATGAATTTCCAAAAACAAGGCATTCTTAGTTACCTGAGAGAGTAAACTGAGAAATCTAGTGTGAAAATATAGATTTGGTTTTGGAAACATATCATTTAAAGTTTATAGAAAATGTACCAAGATTATTTAGGGAAATAGTTAAGTGCCTTCAACTTGTTAAATATACCATGGAAATGATTAAAAAGTGTAAATATTTCTTAATTTCTGAGCAGAGACCACACCATTCAGCCACCTCTGAAATTATATCAAGAATCAGTTGAGGGATTGAGGCTGTGACTCAGTGGTAAAGTGCTTGCCTGGCATGTGTGAGGCACTGGTTTTGATCCTCAGCACTGCATAAAAATAAAATAAAGGTAAAGACATTTTTTATTTTTAAGAACCAGTTGAGGTAAAAAATAAAAGATCTGAGAAAGATTTTCAAACAAAAGGTTTTATTTTTTTAGAACATATCTGGAAGCACTGTAGTGCATTATGGAAAACTTAGGACTTAGAGAGAGCCCTGGGCTTGAGTTCCAACTAATAATTCTAGAATTCATTGGTGAGTAGCTGTATTGCCTAATGTCTGTGTGACTGTGAACAAAATCATTTTTCTTACGTCTTTGATACCTTCTTACATATCTTGCCTCAATCTCTAAGCTATTTGGAGCAGTGTTTCCCAATTTGTAGAGTACAAATGACAAGGAATTTTAAAAGGTCTTGCTGAGAAAGTAAAGGGGCAATGTTAAGTTCAAAGAAGCTAAACAAATTTCTTTACTGCAGATCTGTATTCTGTTATTCCATCCTGTGTGTAATGGCTCTCCTGAGATAAGGTCATATTAAGAGGTGTTGCCCTAAAATATTTTCACCATGGGCCTCTTTTTGCATGAAGACCCACAGATTATTAGTGTTCCAGCTTGCACAAAAAACTGTGGTTCAAAGAGTCAAATGCAATGTCTTCTTCTTATAAATGTCCTCAATTACATTTTCTCTCCCACCTATAAAAATAATTCATGGTTTATTTTTCATAATTTTATATTCTTGCTGGAACAATTTACTTCGGCAACATATGGTACAAATTCTTTATCTGTTCTCAGCTTCTCACATGCTTCCAGTTTCAATCAGTAAATGCTAACTTGGTTATTTTGGGTAATTGGTTACCCATTGGCTAATCTTCCAGGCCTAGAATCTCTGCATCCTTTTATATCCCTCAGATGTATCAAGATGTGTGGATTAAGTTTTGACAACAGTGAGAGGGATGTCCCCTGGAGCAGGCAGAGAGATGCTGAGGCCATTCGGCTATGTTGACTTCCATGGAAGGGCTCATGGTCTCTGGTCTAGTGGAACAAATACAGTGTCTACATAGAGAATTAACACCAAGTAGAAAAATGCTAGAGGAGCTTGAAAGAGGGATAYGTGTTCAGCCTGACTCTGGCATGGGAACAAGACAGAGCCTTTAGCAAATGGCTTTGACCATCAAGGGAAAGCATAGGGCACCAAAATCTGAAGGCTCTTAGATGTCTCCACCTGAGGGAGCCATGCAAAGTAATTCAGCAAGAATATTTGGGGTGTTACTGGCTGGACAGGTGGGTTGGAAGCGGCCTATCCCCAGAAGACAGGGCTATCATACAGGTAGTGAGAAGCCATTAGGTTGTTTCACTGGAAACCATCATGTTCAGATCCTGGGCATAGAAAGGCCCCATCCCTCCAACTCCACCTGCCCTCAGTAACTCTTTCTGGACATCTGGGCATTGAACCCAGATGAACCCTCCTCCTTCTGCTGTATTATGTCTTTACTAATCTTCATGTCACTGTTTCTATTTGAATTTCATTTCTGCTTAATACAACCATTAGGAAGCCAGCCCAGAAGTGTAGGTACCTGAAGTATAGGAATCACCGATAAAAGTCTCTTTTTTCTAAGCCAACGTAATCCATCAATTTTGTTTTCCCTTTCATTCCCCTTACATTACATATACTGGAAAGTTCCATTCCAATTGCTTTAGTGAGTGCTTGGTTCATACAGCAAATGTTGGGCGTTGGTTTTTTTTGACCTTCATTAAAAATGTAGATTATGTAGTCCCAAAGAGTGTCACGCGCTCATTAAAACTGATTATAACATTTATGGAAGAGCCTTGTAGGAAATTTATTTATTTTTTGTTTTAAAATTAGGAAGAAATTCAGTTTCTTTTTCTACTTTAAAGTACCCATTTCACAGAGGGAGGTTAAGTATCCATTCTGTTCCTAACACCAGYCAGTTCTTCCAAGCAGAAATCTGTTGTTTCAGTAACACCACAGCAGAAAACACACTGAATCATTTTGCTCCTAAGCCCTGACTAGTTTTCAGATCAAATCCATGGCCAAAGCCACACTAAGCAATTAACTCACATGATTCCAGGGGTTTCTTGATTGTTTTTGTTTTATAATCCTAGGGATTAAAACCATAGCCTAGTGCATACTAAGCATGTACTYTACCAATCAACTACAACTCTAGCCCAACTCCACGTTTTAAGTACKTTGTTTTTGGTAAAGAAAACATTCCCCCATCTGGGCATGGTGGGGCATGCCTAAAATCCCAGCAACAAGTTCAAAGCCAGCCTCAGCAATTTAGTGAGGCAACTTGGAGAGATCCTGTCTCCAAATAAAAAATAAAAAGGGCTGGGGATGGGCTCAGTGGTTAAGTGCCCCTTGGGTTCAATCCCTGCTATCAAAAAAAGAAAGAAAGAAAACATTTCCTAGAATAGACTAGTAGGGGAAAAAAAAAAAAAAGGGTACGAAAGGACTGTCACTCCAATTTGTTTGTTCCTGGATTATGATTTTACCTAGCAAAATTTCCTTTAACTCTGCAGAAGATGATCCCAAAATTGTGAGCAAAAACAACTTGTAAACTTTTCTGCTAATTCATAAGACTCAATGTAATCAGAACAAAGCAACTGTAGGAATCTGATGTGTCTTGATGCTAAGGAGCTAACAGAGAAACCGGATTCTGGATTTTTTGTCAATTATAATTTGACTACATGATCAGGTCACATTGTTGGTCTGATGGGGACACCCATGACTTGACCCTCTACCTAGCATTCTTTTGGACCTCAAGGTCATGTGAACGTTCTTGGCACAGCTTCACCTATATGGACTCCCATGGTTATTTGGGTTCCMACTACTAGGGCCGGAATTCTGCCACTTTGGGCTGCTGCTGTGATGGGGATAGGAATGTTCTTTCCGCTGTGGAAGTATAGACGCTCCTCCAGGTTTCCTCCAGTAGGGCCCTTACTTAGGTGGTGAAGAGGGAAAGGAAAGGCAGAAGAGAAGAGGGAAGTAGGCGACAAAAAATTTGGAAGCTGGAGTAACTTGGTCTCACTCAGTTTTTTCAGAGCAAATAAGGAATTTTATCCTGAGTGGTGGTTCCTGAACTCATGTAGGAAATCGMAAGTTTAATGTAAGGAATCATTCTAAGATGATCAAATGCATTTTGTTGGAATGAATTTCTCTCCTTGATGATACTTGGAATTTTATTTCCAGTTGGCCCAGAAGAGAGAAGTTCCCGGAAAGTTTTATGTAGATCAATATGCTGCTTGATATTTTTTTTTCCTCTAAGTCACATCTAATTTTTTCCCTATATTTGATTTGCTTAAAGGTGTTTCTGTTTGCTGTGCCTTCTGTATTTGGAAATATTTATTATAAGGATTTAATAATCTATTCATATAATTAAGGAAAACCCAGCATATCATTGCTTTATATGAGTGCTCTATAAATACCAGTTGTTGTTTGTTTGTTTGTTTTTTTTCAGTCCTGGGGATAGAACCCAGGGCTTCTCACATTTGAGGCAAGTACTCTAACACTAAGCCCCATCCCCAGGCCCCTTTTCATTTTTATTTTGATACAGGGTTTTTCCAAATTGCTGAGGCTGGCCTTAAATCCAATCTTCTTGCTTTAGCCTCCTGAGTAGCTGGGATTACAGGTAGACATCACAATACCCATCTCAATTTTGATAAAATGACCTAACGTAAATCATTTTGATATTTCAAAAATTGAGTCTAAATTTATTACTCTTACATAGCAGTAATATCTAATTCTTAGCTGGGTGTGGTRACATCTCCCTGTAATCCCAACTACCCAGAAGCCTGAGGCAGAAGAATCACAAGTTTGAGGCTAGTCTAGGCAACTTAGCGAGATCCTGTCTCAAAGTAAAAAATAAATAGAGCTGGGTTTGTAGYTCAGTGATAACATGCCTCCAATACCACAAAGAAAAAATAATCTCTAATTCTTACAACACCCTACCAAAATTTCAAGAGGTTAAGTTAAATTAGAATTAAGGGAGTATAAACAGTGCTCTGATTACATAGCACTCGGAAAGCTTTGAGTGAATWAGAAGATTAAATCTCCTAGTAAAACATTATACAAAGAATTTATGGAAATATCAATTAATTTCCAATGATATTATCCATGAGATTATAAAATATAAATTAGTTAGATTTGCATTGCAGAAACCTTAGGAATATTCCCTTTCAATTATAAACTACTTAACTAAGAGGAAAAACAAAGAGTTACTCATGAAAAGTTAGAAATTAAGATAAACAAAGGATCTAAAAAGAAGCAAATACTTTATGGGGATTTGCTAAACAAGATTAAGAAATGATTATTCTTTCATTTTAAATTTTACCTCTCCGATGCCTTAAATTTAAATGGCTTTCAAATATTCTTTTCTCATATTCAGGCCTGCAGACATAGCTCAGTGGTAGGGCATTTGCCTAGCACATGTGAGGCCTTGAGTTCAATCCCCAGGACTGCAAGAAAATCTTAGTCTGAGAAAATCAGAGCCTGAGAAATCACTGTCATCCATTTGACTCTTAAGTTGTTTTGCATTATTAGAATCTGAATTTTTCTCATAATTTCAAAGTAAAAGATGTCAAAAATCCCACTAAATGTCAGATTAAAAGACTGGGTGCAGTGGTGCTTGTAATCCCAGCTACACAGGAGGCTGAAACAGGAGGATTGTGAATTTGAGGGTTAGGCAACTTAGTGAGACTCTGTTTCAAAATAAAATTTAAAAGGTTTAGGGATGTGGCTTAATGATAGAGCACACCTGGATCCAATCCCCAGTWCTGCCAGACTGGGCACAAATAAATAGCCAAGAGAATCATTTGATCACATTTACTCTTAGTGATTTTCTCAATCCATATACTATCAAGTATATGGATTATTATTCATGAATCTGAATTACAGTATTATTCATGAATCCTGAAAACCAGGGTGCCAATGGACACCCTGCAGAAATAAATAGATTAAATGATGTGGAGATCACTTCTTCCTCCACAGGAAGGGTGTCTTTGCTTTAGTCAGAATATCTAAGACGCTAATAGATTTACTCCTCGTATTCTGGGTCATAGAAGTTATGACCTAGATCAGCCTGAAGAGGACACTTGTCTTTAAAAATCTCAACTTTTCTCTAAGTCCYTCTTTTCCCCTGTCTCTGTTACTCTGATAACTATGTGTTATAGTGCAGTAATCCAAACAATTTCAATCTACCAGATTTTCATAGTCCAAATAATTAAAGATAAGTACATATTTTAATGTTTTAATTTRCACTTTTTATCATTGCAAATAATAAAATACTCTGTTACACTTTCTATGGCATTTCTATGGGACAAAACGAGAGCATTATGTAGGTTTTTAGTTAGAACAAAGAGAAGGTGGGTGGAGAAAGCAAGAGGTTGGAGGCTGGCTGGGCAGCTTTTCACCCCAGGCATTAAATTTTATGAGGCTCAGAATTGCCAGGGGACTGGGGAAGAAAGGGAAAGTCCTGGAAAGGACAGAGAGACAAGTCTGGCTGCACCTTCCTCTGGGATGCCTAATGGACCAGCGGGACTTCTCCAGATGCCACTCTGTGTGCTTTACAACCTTCCTCCCTTCTCCTCTGGGGCTGCTTCCTGTTCTTTGGCGTATTCTAAACTTGAAGTGTAACTCAGTAAATGCCTATCCATCCTGAGGTTGATGTTTGTGTTTTTCTTTCTAAAAAATTTTTGGCTTTATTTTCTCATATTCTGGACTGTGCTTTCCTGTTGGAGAGGCACCTTGATCTCTTCCTCTGAGCCTTCTAGAATTTTCTACTTTGACCTTCCACAATCTTCTGGAGGAAAAGTGTTCTTGCTAGTTATTTGACAGTTAGTTATTCTGACTACTCATTTCATTCTAAGAACTATGCAGGATCTGTCAAATGCAGCATCTGTTACCATTGTTGGGCCTGGGATGTGAACTGTTCTGTCAGTGGCTAACATCTACACAGGGCCCACAGCATGGCAGGTGTCATGCTAAATATTTTATATTTAACCCTCAGAACAACTCTTGAGATTGGCAGGTCTCATTATCCCTGTTATACAGATGAAGAAACAGAAGCACAGAAAGCAAAATAACTAAGGATCTGTATCCCTGAACTTTTGTTGTTGTTATTTTTGCAGAACTGAGCTTTGAACTCAGGGATGCTACATCCCCAACCCTTTTTAATTTTGTGACAGGGTCTCAATACATTGCTGAGGCTGGCCTTGAACTTGCAACCCTCTTGAGTAGCTGGGATTCTAGGTGTGTGCCTGTGTGCCAACATGCCAGCCTTATTATTACTTTWTGGTACAAATTTGCCAACTTAACTTTTTTTTAGAAAAACAGGAATTGAATGAACCCTGGGGCATTTAACCACTGAGCCACATTTTTATTTTGAGACAGGGTTTCATTAAGTTGCTGAGGCTGGCCTCAAACCTGGGATTCCTCCTGCCTMAGCCTCCAGAGTCTCTGAGATGACTGGCACGTGCCACTGCACCCAGCCATTTTAACCATTTTTTTTTAAAGAGAGAGAATTTTTTAATATTTATTTTTTAGTTTTTGGCAGACACAACATCTTTGTTTGTATGTGGTGCTGAGGATTGAACCCGGGCCACACGCATGCCAGGCGAGCGCGCTACCTCTTGAGCCACATCCCCAGCCCATTTTTAACCATTTTTAAGTATATGGTATAGAAATGGTCACCTCATGCACTTTGTTATGTAACCCCTCTCTAGAACTTTTTCATCTTGTAAAACTAAAATTCTGTATCCATTGGATAATAGCTGCCTCATCTCTGACCTTACACAGAAGAGTTTAATCAGATGTTCATACACAGGGAATAGCATCTGTCCTGGGCCAGAATGCAGCTTCTCCCTGAGTCCTCTGCCATTTGAGGCATACATATACAGTGATGGAGAAAAAGGGAAATAAAGTGGGGAATAAAGTGACTCTTGGGACCTTTGTGAATCAGGGCCCTCCAGTCTCCCCACTGCTTATCTCTAGTGACTTTGCATAAGCCTGTGGGATTCCCAACAAGGTAACCGCAGTGCGGTATGAGACATTATCTTACTGTCCAGTTACAAAGTTTTCCATAGTTATTGTGAAAGAGCACAGYGATTACTTCACTCTCAAAAATTCTTCCTTAGAAATGGTCATTACTTTTATCACCAAGGACTACAGAAACATCAATCAGATAGAACTCAAAGGGCCTAAATTCCAGCTTATTTTGGTTCAGCGACTGGACAGACACAGCAGTCTCTCTGCAGCTGTTGTGCTGTGCAGATATCATCTCCAGGATTCAGTCTAGGCCAGACTTGCCAGCGGTCTCATGCTTTGCTCTGGATGGCCGAATCGTCCTTCATGTCTATTGACTCTTCCATGATGAACAGTTGCGTTTTAGGGCTCGAACTCTAAATAGCCACCTTTGTGTTTCTATCAGAATGTGAAAAAGACTGACTGGTTCCAGGAGTGGCCAGATTCCTATGTGAAGCACATCTACAGCTCAGAGGACAGGAATGCACAGCGGCACCTGAGCAGCTGGGCCATGCGCAACACGAACAACCACAATTCTCGCATCCTCAAGAAGTCCTGTCTGGGTGTGGTGGTGTGCGGCCACAACTGCTCTACCAAGGAGGGGCGCAAGGTCTACCTGAGACCTGCGATCTGTGACAAAGCCCGGCAGAAGCAGCAGAGTGAGTGGGACTTGGTGGATCTGGCAAGGAAACTGGTGTCCCTCCAGATGCCCCTGTCCAGATGGGCCAGTATCTCCCAGCACATCCCAAAGGCTGTGTTAAATCCCAATGAACCCTTCACACTTTAGTGCAGTGGGGAGCGAGGCTGAGTATATTCAGGGGAACCAACCCACTCCCTTGTTCCCTAACCTCACAGATCTACACATCCAGAGCTCCCACCAAGAAACTGCTCCCTTGGGTTAGGCAGCTGATGCAAGCCCCTTGTTAAAAAGAAGATAGATCAAAACTTCTATCATGAACTCATCAGTGACCCATGTAAAGTTTAGTAGAATTAGAAAGTAAAAGTTTAGTATGAAGTAGTTTATCAGACTTGCCATCTGACATCTTGGCAATCAGCCCCTGTGTGACCTTAATGCATGCATTCATCTGGAGGGGCAATCGTGGGATTRATTTAATTTAAAGTTAGATTTAGATCTGTCCACTTAGGTTCATATCATTRTCACAAGCTGAAATGTTTGTTCTTTTTATTTTCTGTACTCATGGATTGTGAAATAGACACTCTTCGTGTTCCCTGTTCCAAAGMCCACTGCAGACCCCAAGTTATTTCACATTCTTTCCTAGTAATTTGTTTCCAAAACTTGCTCTCTGGTCAGAACCTGCTATTAGTCATTCATACCCTAGTAAAAATTTAATGGCTGTGTTCTCTCTCCCAGGGGGCTTTTCCCCTTGATCCTTAGTTCAATTGTAAAATGAAAGAAAAATTTTCTCTACTCTAAAAGAATTTTAAATATCAGCAAATAAGTAGGGAGACCTTTTTCTGCTCAAAAGAGCTCCTTGTTGACCTGCTAACAACTCATACCCCACTTAGAAGGTAGCATCTTGCTCTATCCATGTATAAGACCAATCTAGGCCATTATGGTGGCCAGGTATTCTTTGRTCTGGGGGGATAATACCCAGTAGACAGAAGTCCATAAAACCACCCAGGTGTATTTGCTACCATACAGAAGTTGAGTCTGTGCAGGGCTCATAAGTGCCCCATGTGGCTCAGCCAGCCAGGTACCATCACTTTCTTTTGCTTTTTGTAGAGAAAAGTTGTCCCAACTGTAATGGGCCTTTGAAGCTGATTCCTTGCCGAGGCCATGGGGGCTTCCCCGTCACCAACTTCTGGAGACACGATGGACGCTTCATATTCTTCCAGGTTGGATTTGAGTTAGTTATGTGATTCTGTTTCTCTGTAATTTGACAAATGTTTGCAGAGTTTCTTGGAAAAAGTAGGCTCTTCAGAAGCTAGAGACACTGGAGCAAAGACAACCCTGCACCAATGCTGGGAGTCCCTGCTCAGGGAGAGCAAATATCTGCACCCCACACTTCAGCCGAGGTTGGAGGTGCTGGGAAGCCCTGGGGAGGAAGCTGACTAAGAGGCCCTAGCTCCTGACCACAGACAACAGCTAATCAGATCACACCCAGGCTAGCACAGTACACTGAAGCCCACAGCCTTCAATGGCCACCTCTGACTTTTAACTATCTCTGGAAACTTGAACAAGTTACTTTTCCCCTAAAAGCACCATTTTTTGCTAAAACATATAAGAAATTCAAATGGGGGCAGTGGTGTAAACAGTCATGACAAATGGACTCTGATATCAGACTACCTGGATAGTCTGATATCAGAGTGCAGTACTAGCTAACCAGATTAAAAAAAAAAAAAAAACCAAGTAGTCCTGATTTGGAATATTTGCCAGTTTCTGTGATGTGACAGTTCCCTCCGTGACTGATGTTAAGCTGCCAGCCTTTTTTAACAGTCAGCTCACAAAATTCCTAAATGTTTCACAATTGGCTCTCTGTTTGGCTGGTTCCAGTGAGGGGAATCCCAGCCAATCCCTGCCCCAACCACACTGCCCCTTACAAGGGGAGGTTACCCAGGTGGTTCAATCTCTCCTTGCCTCAGTTTCCCATTCTGTAACTGGGGGTGGAAATGATGGTGTGAACCTGAAGGGTCGTGCTGGGTGAGATAGGCAGGGTCTACCAATGTCCTACACGTGCTAGAGGAAGCACTGAGGATGAGAGGAACCACAGGAAGAAGGAGTCTCATGAACAAGAGCCGACAGGCAGGAGCATGGGGGGCTTAGGAGATACTTCAGAAGTTTTTCTCATCCTGTTGCAATAAGCAATACCACCACCATACAGTTCGTGCGACAGTAAAAACTCACACACCACAAAGTACAATCCAGTTCTTTCTTTTTTACTTCCTTGTCTCTTTTAAGTCAAAGGGAGAGCATGATCATCCAAAGCCAGAAACCAAGTTAGAAGCTGAGGCAAGAAGAGCAATGAAGAAAGTGCATGGGGCACCTGCCTCTGTCTCCCTAAAGCTGAAGGGGAACCCAGGATCCAAGGTAACCTGACATCAAGTATGATCAAAACATACAGCAACTTGCCACCCCTGTGGTGTGGATGGGAATGGTCTGGTCTTTTACTGACAAAGAGATCCAAAAAACATACACTGTCAGGCTCATTTATAAATAAGCATCTACCAAAGAAATGGAGTTGTTTTTTCTCTTTCTTTTATTTATTTATTTTTTCCTGAGGCAGATCTCTCTAATTTGTCCAGGCTGGTCTTGAACTAGGGATCCTCCTGCCTCTAATCTTAGATTTGACTCTTAATTTCTGCTCCCACCACACTGCCCCTTACAAGGTGAGGTTACCCAGGTGGTTCAATCTCTCCTTGCCTCGGTTTCCTATTCTGTAACTGGGGGTGGAAATAATGGTGTGAACCTTAAGGGTCATTCTAGGCGAAATAGGCAGTGTAGCACGCTCTCAACCATAAAAATCTATGTAAGTGTCCAGTCATCTTCCCTACTACACTTAAAAAAGAGAAACCTGAATGAGTACTTTGGCACTCTATAATTTTATTCTAATAGAACCAAATTATAATTAAAATAATCTCTATCAAATAGCCTTGTGCTTTTTTTCCCCTCAAAATTTCCATATGCCTCCAGAGTAGCTTGTTTCCTTAGCTTCCCTACCAACATGAAATAAAGTTTCTGACGATTAAAGAAATCGCAGGACAAACGAAGGCATTTCCTCCTGTTCACTCTGGTTGATCATATCCTTTTCTCTCCTCCCCCTAAAACTATCCTCTTATTAGCTAATACTTTGACATAAACAAGAGTATAACTTAATTCTGAACCAGGTTCTTTTCTTATGATTGACTAGTGAGTAATATAATTCCTCCATTTATAAAAATAAATTGACTATCCAGCACTGAAAGAAAAGTGGAGGACAGGAGGGAAGGAGAGAGGAGAGGGGAGTGGTTTGATTTTTCTTAAATCGGTTTTAAAAGGTTTCTCAGAAAGACAGGGTATTAGGTTTATGTTCGAGTGTGAAATATCTTAGGCCTGGCTGTGTGTCCATAGAGAGAAAGGAAATCCAGCTTTTACTGGTTGGAAAGGTTTAAAATGGAAACCGAGGCAGCCTTTACTTCCCCAGTCTTCGGTGGCTGGGAGGGAGCTGCTGTGTGTCCCTGCTTGAAATATGCAAGGAACGAGGGGAATCTGATGAAGCACGTGCTTGTAGAGGAACTCGTGGGTGTCTGTGGTAGTTGTGTGGATTTGCTTAACTTATTAACATGAGCATTTCACTTTCCTTTCCAGTCTCTTCCAGGTGAAACACAAAGTCAGGGAAGTTTACCTTTAACTTGGTCATTCCAGGAAGGTGTCCAATTGCCTGGCAGTTACAGTGGACATTTAATAGCTAACACTCCCCAGCCGAATTCACTGAATGATTGCTTATCCTTCTCCAAGAGTTATGGTTCAGGGGGAACCACTGATCTGGCAGACCCGACTTCTACCTTAGACCCCACTAAGCTGTATGAAAAATGCAGATTTTCCAGTAATAGGATCTACAATAGTG